ATGGGTGACCTTCTGGGAAGTTTCCAAAAATTGTGTAATTAAGGACAAAACATGCTAAAAACTTAAGTATTGTAAAATAAAATCCTTAAGAGGCCAAATATGAGTGGTTCATAGCGACCAAATTTGCGACGTCTATAAAATTTAATAAAATAAAAAATAAATATTTAGCGACCGATTTAGCAACCGATTTATTCAGTCACTAATTTGGTCCTATACACTTCAGCGACCAAAATAATTTCAACCATTTAGCGACCGAAAATTTTTTAGTCGCTAAATAGCTTAGCGACCAGGGTTTTAGCGACTTATTAAATTCGGTCGCTAAGGTAAATAGCGACCTATTTTTGCAATTTAGATCGATTTTGGTGGTCGCTAAATTGCATATTTTTTATAGTGAGTCTAACTAAGACTTACCACACACACACAAATTCATCTTATATAGAGTGAAGCAGACACCTCAAATTCAAAAGTCACAAAATTGTTTTTATAATAACTAGTTAGGGCGAGATATTTTGTGTTTCTATATTTTATTTAATAAAAATGTTTAAAAATTATTAATATTTGGTAAATCAATTAGTGTTACATTTGGTCTACAAACCTAAAGGTCTTGAATTCGAGTCTTATCTGTATAAGAATGATTAATTTTTAATATTATTTTTTATTATTTAAAAATTCAGGGATAAAATTATCTTTAAAATGTATATACCAAATGGGACAATCGCCATTATTATATGTTATAGAATAGATTTTTTTTATAATAAATGACATCACAAGTATTATATTCACCATCACCTCTATCACCATTATTGTTGTACTACCATTGTTATTATTGTCGTCATCACTATTATCATTAGTGTCAAGATAGTGGTAAACTGGTAATGGTAACTAGTGATAATAGCAATGACAACGATGTGATAGTGGTGGTAATAATAATAATGGTTGTTGTACTGATGATTATGAAAAAGATAACTATATGAGTGACAATAAGTAGTAATTTTTGTTTATTACATTTTAATTTGAGTTGTTTATTTTAATCTAAATTTTGTTATTATATGTTCTCATTTATCATTATAAGAGATTTCTCATTTAAAACATCTCCTTAAACTAAAATTTTTCTTGTAATACTAATTAATGTAATTATTAATGTAATATATAAGTATTAAGATAATATTTAATAAACTAGTAATTTTTATAAATATTCAAACGAACAAATATTTTCTTATAAAATATTAATTATTGTATTTATTAAATATCATGCATTTAATGATGTAATATATTTATTAAATTTAATAAATGGAATATAATATGTGTAAATTGAAATATCATGCAAATTTAATATTTTTAATTGTTATTCTAATAAATAACTTTAAATTTTACAAAAATAAATATGAAATGACCAAACGACAAGTTAATAAATTAAAATATTTACAAGAGGAAATAACTTCGTGGTACTCCTAGGAGGAGTTCTTGGAACTGACAGTTGTTGGGAGAGCAAATGGCTCATGTAATCATAGAATAACAAGAGTCACGACATATCCAATACCATTTAAATATTATATTGGGTAGAGGGTACCCAACAAACAATTAAGAACAACAACAATGGTAATGAAATGAATCGCAAAAACAATGGACAAGTGAAGGTAGAAAGCAAAACTCTAGAGCTAAAAATAAAGGTATGAATAAGTACATGGGTGAACATGAACATGTAATACTTCACTCTTTTAAGGAATACATGTATAATTTTATCTTAAATTATCTCATCCACACAAAATAAAAATATTAGGAACAAAAACACATTTAATTAAAAAACAATTAGAGATACTAAGATGCATTGAATGCAATGATGGATCTAAAATTTTTAAGTTGTGGAGACAACTCAACCAAATATATAAATTTATAATATCAATAATCTAATATAAAATAGAAATTAAAAAATGAAGTTATCTTAGTATTGTAGTTATTTAGTTTATATTTATTTTAAATTTGTTTAAATATATATAATTATTTAACATTTATGATATTTTTATTTATTTTTATTCAAAGATAAGTTTCATATGTTATTCTGGTTAATTTATAAAAGTATAAAGTAAAAAATAATTCTAATATGAATATAAAAATACTCATATATTATAAAATTAATAATTTCTATTGTAATAATGAATATAACATATTTTGTTAGAATTTAGAATCTAATTATGTTATTATTGTAGTTATTTTATTTTTATTTATGTTACATTTGTTTAAATATATACAATTATTTAACATTTATGATATTTTTCAATTTTTATTAAGAGATAAGTTTTATCTGTTATTCTGGATAATTTATAAAAATAAAAAGTAAAAATTATTGTTAATAATGAATATAAAAATATTTATATATTATAAAAACAATATTTTTCCTTTGTAATAATGAATATTACATATTTTTATTAGAGTTTAGAATATAATTATTCAGTATTGTACTGAGTATAAAAACAATAATTTATTTATTTATTTTACATTTTTTTAATTTGTATAATTGTTTAACGTTTATGATATTTTTTATTCATTGATAAGTTTTTTTATTATTCTGGGTAATTATAAAATATAAAATATTGTTAATAATGAATATAAAAAATTAATATATGATAAAAATAGTTATTATTTCAAATGAGTGGAAGATATTTTAAAAATAAAATAATTGGAGGGGTAGAGAGAATGTTTTGGGCGAGAAAATTTTTGCCCACTTGTTGACATATGTCCCCACATAACTTATTTATTTGTTTATTAATAGTATGATATAATAATATCAGTGAGAATGAAATTAGCCTTGTCTCTTTATGATTTTATTTATTTTATTTTAAGTGAAGTCTCTTTCATATTCAAATTCTTGAGAAATGGAAGAGAAAGAATACCATCAAGAGTACAAGAACATTTATGATGGGCTTTAAAGCCTCAGGAGTGAAAAGAAGTAGAAAGACATTAATCTTGTCTCTTTGTTTTGTATATTCAAAATGAAACAAAATAATATTATACAGTATTTTAAGATGAAGTGAAATACAAGTCCATTTTTATTTAGGCTGCGTTTGGTTGTCTTTTGTGTTTTAGATTTGAAAAACCATTTTATAAACAAATTTTAAAAAACTGACTTTTATAGAGTAGAAGTGAGAAAAAAAAATGTATCAGTATTTTTGACTCAGCCTCTAAATTTATATATCACTTACGCTTTTAGCAGATGCAGCAGCTACTGTGCGCATAAAGCAGCTATGACTATGAGTGTAGGTCAATCAAAGAAACCCTATGGCCTATATACATTAAACTCACTACTCTATTCAGTTCAGGCATTTGCCCAGCATGGACCCTACTGTTTCAGATTGCAATTTTGGTAGAAAAGAAAGAAATAGAGTGGCGTCAAATAAAAAATGAAGAGAAATAGTTAAAAAATAAAATAAAATTTTAATTATTTAATTGAAGAGAAATAATTGAAAAATATATGAGAAATAAAATATATATAAGAAAGAGGAGAAATAAATAAATAAAAACATAAAATTTACTACTTTTAATTTCTTTCCTCTCTATTTCTTCTCAACCAAATAATCTTTCTCATTTTCACTCTCTTATTTCCACTCTTTCTATCTTATTTTTTACCCATTTCTTCTCTATTAAATAAAGTGTGAGTTGCTAGCTAAGGAAAAGTACTTTTTTGTTAGTTTATATATGAGAACTCTTTTTATATATAATCAAATAGAAAATTCAAATTAAAAAACTATAAACAAAATCATCACAATCACATTATTATTATAGTTCTCTCTTTAATAAATCACATCACAATTATATTTTTACTGACATCTCAATCACTATTATTATTATACTATTAACACTGTTATGATTGTTATGAGCAAGGTGATGATAAAAATAATAATAACAATGACGACAACAATAATAATGATAATAATAATTACCATAATATAATAATAGTAATGTAATAATGATAAGAATAATAATGTTGATTGTAATAATGATTATGATATAGATAATTACAGGATGATGATAAGTAGTAATTTTGTTTGTAACTTTTTAATTTAAGTTGTTTATTTTAATTTTAAGATTGTTATTATAAAAGATTTCTCATTTAAAACATCTCCTAAACTAAAAAATTTCTTATAATATTAATTAATATAATTATTCAATATACTATATAAGTGTTAAGATAATATTTAAATAATGTTATTAATAAACTAGTATTTTTTTAATAAATATTCAAACAAATTGATATTTTTTTATAAAATATTAATCATTATATTTATTAAATACAATACATTTAATAATATAATATATTTATTAAATTTAATAAATGAAATATAATATATGTAGATTAAAATATTAAAAATCTATTATTAAATTAACTATAATTATTGCAAAATTAATATTTTTTTTTATTGTTATCTTAATAAATTACTTTAAATTTTAAAAAATAAAATTATCAAGTGACTAAACGATAACTTAATAAACTAAAATATTTGCAAGAGAAAATAACTTTGTCGTACTTTTAGGAGGAGTTTCTAAACCTAATGATTGTTAAGAAAACAATTGCATCACATAACCATAGAATAACAGAAGTCACAACACATCCAACACCATTTAAATATCATATTGGGTAGTACACAAACAAGAAGGACAACAATAATAACAAATTGAACCACGTAAAAAAATGGACAAGTTAAGGCAAGAAGTCAAAATTTCAAAGCTAAAAATAAGGATATGGAGAGTACTTACGTGAACTTGAACATGTGATACTTCATTCTTTCAAGGAATACAAGTATAATTTTATCTGAAATTAGCTCATCCACACAAAATAAAAATAAAAAACAACTTTTAGGAACAAAAATACATTTAATTAAAAAAATTAGAGATACTAAGATGCATTAAATGTGTTTGTGTTGCATATAATTCAACGTTCAACATGATATTTTCATTAACCACACTGTTTCTCCATGCATAATCTTTTTCAGTCGAGGAGTATTCAAGTAATGGACCCTACACCTAAATTGAGGACTACATAATGCAACAAGCAAAAAAATCATTTGTGAGCATCCCTCACTTACCAACATGGTGTCCACAAAGCTTGTATCGTTTCAGTTGATTTTCATCACATTCTTGTGTTCACTTTTAAGCCTCTGTTCCACACAAGTTTCTGGTGTTTCTTTTGCCAATGCTATTGTCAAGGTTGGCCATGAAGCCGCACAAGATGAAGACATTGAAGCAAGTGCTCTATTAAAGTGGAAAGCCAGTTTTGATAACCAAAGTCAGGCTTCTTTGTCTTCTTGGTCCAATATTACTAGTCCTTGCAAGTGGGAAGGAATTGTTTGTGATGAATCCAACTCTATCAGCACTATAGATGTTACAAATTTTGGTCTAAAAGGTACACTTCTCAGTCTTAATTTCTCATCCTTTCCTAAGTTGTTGAGTCTAAAGTTGAGTTACAACTCCTTGAGTGGACCTATTCCCCACCAAATTGGCAAACTGTCAAGAATTTCTCAGTTGAAAATGGATCATAATTGTTTCAGTGGTTTCATCCCCCAAGAAATAGGGGCATTGCATAACTTGGAGTATCTATCCATGAGAGCAAATAGTCTTTTTGGTTCCATCCCCAAAACAATTGGAATGTTGAAAAATCTTGTCATGCTTGATTTGTCATCCAACTCTCTGTCTGGTGCAATCCCTTCATTTTCAAATACCAACTTGACAAATTTAGAACAACTTATCCTCTTTAACAACCTTCTCTCTGGCTCTATTCCTGAGGAGTTGGGAAGACTTCATTCTCTCACAACAATCAAACTGTTAGAAAACAATCTTTCCGGGCCAATCCCTTCTTCCATTGGAGACTTGGCTAATTTGAGAACACTTCAGCTCAGTTGTAATAAATTTGATGGATCAATTCCTTCCACCTTTGGAAACTTGACAAAACTCATTGAATTGTCCATGATGGAAAACAACCTTTCTGGATCAATTCCTGCTTCCATAGGAAACTTGGTCAATCTGGAGAAGCTTGGCCTTGCAATGAACAATCTTTCTGGACCTATTCCCTCTTCCTTTAGAAATTTGACAAAGCTCACCTTCTTATTACTTTATATGAACAACCTTAATGGTAGTTTTTCAACAGCAATAAATAACCTTACTAGTCTAGTAAGCTTACAACTAAGCTTGAATCATTTCACTGGCCCTTTGCCACCACATATATGCCTTGGAAGGTCACTTTCAAATTTTTCTGCCAATCAAAATCATTTCACAGGTACAATTCCAACAAGTTTGAAGAACTGCTCTAGCCTTTTTAGGCTCAACCTTGCAGACAATAATTTGACAGGAAATATTTCAAATGATTTTGGTGCATATCCAAAGTTGAGCTACATTGATCTGAGATACAATAACTTTTATGGCCACCTTTCATCAAATTGGGCCAAAAGCCATAATCTCACAACTCTTAAGATGTCCAACAACAATTTAAGCGGTGGTATACCGCCAGAACTTGGTCAGGCACCCAAGTTAGAGCAACTTCATTTGTCTTCAAATCATTTAACTGGAAAATTTCCAAAAGAACTTGGTAACTTGACCTCATTGTTTGATCTATCAATAAGCAACAATGAACTTTTTGGCAACATTCCTTCAGAAATAGGTGCTCTATCTCACCTTCAAAATTTGGATCTTGCAGCAAATAATTTAGGTGGCCCAATTCCAAAACAGATGGGAGAGTTGCTCAATTTACTTCACTTGAACTTGAGCAAGAATAAATTCACAGAAAGCATTCCTTTCTTCAACAAATTGCAATCTCTGCAAGATCTTGATCTTAGTTGGAATTTGTTAAATGGAGAAATACCGGCAACACTTGCATGTATGCGAAGATTGGAAACGTTAAACCTCTCACACAATAATCTCCATGGAGTCATTCCATCTAGTTTTAAGGATATGATTAGCTTGACAAATGTTAACATATCCAACAACCAATTAGAGGGTTCAATTCCTAACAATCAAGCTTTTTTTAAGGCTCCATTTGATGCATTGAAAAATAACAAAGGCTTGTGCGGTAATGCTTCCGGGTTGGTGCCTTGCACAAAGTTTAGTCCCAATTCTCATGGTAAAAAGAGAAATATCATCATGTTGAAACTATTCCTTATTTTGGGTTCATTATCGCTAGTAGTGTGTGCAGTTGGAGTTTCATTATATATTCATTGGCAAAGAGCAAGAAAAATCAAAAAACAGGCCGGAGAAGAACAAAGTCCAGATCTTTTTTCCATATGGCATTATGATGGAAAAATAGTGCATGAAAATATCATTGAAGCAACAGAGGATTTTGATGACAAATATCTCATTGGAGAAGGAGGGTTTGGAGCTGTTTACAAGGCTATGTTACCCTCTGGCCAAATTGTTGCTGTGAAAAAACTTCACGTTGAAGTTGACAGGGAAACACTTAATTTTAAGGCTTTTACAACTGAAGTTCGAACCTTGACAGAAATCAAACATCGTAACATTGTGAAGTTGCGTGGATTTTGTTCACATCCACGCTACTGTTTTTTGGTTTATGAGTTCCTAGAAGGTGGTAGCTTGGACAAAGTACTAAACAACGACACACAAGCAGTAATGTTTGATTGGAATAAGAGGGTTAACATTGTTAAAGGTGTAGCAAATGCTTTGTATCATATGCACCATGGTTGCTTTCCTCCTATTGTTCATCGTGACATATCAAGCAAGAATGTTCTTATAGGTTTGGATAATGAAGCCCGCATCTCGGATTTTGGAACAGCTAAAATTCTGAATCCTGATTCACGCAATTTCACCTCGTTTGCAGGCACTTATGGGTATGCTGCACCAGGTTAGGCCCTTATATTTTTTATCTTAAGAAACTTCACATTTGTTTCAATAATAAACATTGTCACTTTTTGTGTAATACTCTTACTTTGATACTTTGACGTATTACAGAGCTTGCTTATACTATGGAAGTGAATGAGAAATGTGATGTGTTTAGTTTTGGGGTTCTTTGTTTGGAAATAATAATTGGAAATCATCCGGGAGATATCATTTATTGGATGTATTCACCCTCTTCAACACCAAGAATGTCCAATTTGCTATTGAAGGATGTGTTGGACCAACGACTTCCTCTTCCAATGAGGCCAGTTGCTAAGGAGGTCGTCTTGATTGCAAAGATAGCATTTGCTTGCTTGACTGAAAGACCACTTTCTCGACCAACCATGGAAGATGTGCACAACATGTTTGTGATGCCTAAATCACCTTTAATGAAGGAGACACTCGACACCATTGCACTTGGACACCTTCAAAATTGTTGAATTTGGTTTTCTTTTGTATTGCAAGTTTTAGTCATGTCTTGTAACCTTGTCTATGTATATCTTGCAATAAATTGGTTCTTTGCAATGAATTGAAGTTGTGAAAATTTATAACTAGAATTCATATATTAAGTCATGTACATGTATCAATATCTCGTAAATGAAATTTTGCTTATTATTAGTTTTTTTTATCTTTAAATGTCACTAAATAGAAATGTGAGTGAAAATCATAATTTCATCCCTTTCATAATTTCACATCATTTATTTAATTACTTTTTAACTCTTAAATTCATGTTTTATAGTGAGTTTAAAATAAAAATTCATCGTATGCAATTGTACGTGAGTAAATTAGATTAACGTTTATGATGTTTCGTAAAATTGCACACATATATGTTAATTTTTAATATTTAAGGTAATTTCAATTTGTAATATTTTTAAACAATTAAAGAATTAAAATAATATTTAAAGAGTGTGAGTATAATATTGTTCACACTATCCCTTAAAACTGTTGAATTATTTTATGGTATTTGTTTGAGAGAATATTTTTATAAGGTTATTACACAAGCATACTCTATAATGATACGCTTTGGGCCTAAATCCTCACGATTTTGCTTTTGGTCATTACTCAAAAGGCCTCTATACAATCCTCCCCTCAAACAAGAGAGGGTGAAATCTGTCTTTATATATCACATTATCATTTTTTATGAGTTATGAAAGTTCTCTCTATCTTTGAAGTATTTTTGTGTTATATAAGTTTTTATTTCTTGTTTTATTTTATCGATGTGGGACTTGTTTATATTCCAACAAAAACCTATATATATAAAAAAATCAATTTCAAACAGATTAAGAAAGTTAATTAAATATATTTAATTTTTACTATTTCACATAAAAATACATTATATTTATTAAAATATCTTAAATTACACGTATAATAGATAATGTTTTTATTTATTGTCTTAAAAGGTATTTTTAGTTTAAGAATATTAAATAATATTGATTTAATTAAAATTTATTTATATTTTAGTCCAAAATTTTAAACACTTTTTCTTACTTATATATAAGTTCATTAAAAAGTTAATGTAGAGATAAAATAAATAAATAAATAAATATGTGTGGAAAGGGAGTATGAGTAGGTAATTTTGCGAATTATTGGTTGAGTCTCAAATGGCGAAAGCGATGGAAATTTTGTCGGTATCCGCATACTGCATACCAATGCTTAGTTTAATGAGAATTGATATTTAAAATGCTTTCCACGTTGCAATATCGTAATCAGGTAGGATATACATGCAATCTTTATTTTATTGTAATATAGTAATAGTCGTGTAAATGAAATTAGCCTTGTCGCTTTATGATTTTTTTTTTTTTAATATTTTTTTAATATTTTAAGTGAACTCTCTTTCAGATTCAAATTCTTGACAAATGGAAGATGAAGGTACCATCATTACTAAATTTAGTTGCTGCATTTACATCTTGAAACAGAACTCATTACTCCTTATTGGTGGTACGTAGCAATTATTGCGTCTACGGAGCATGGACCCAAATGCTTTAGATTCCAATGTTGGTCCACAAAAAAAATCGGTTGGTAGTTAAGGAAAAGTAGCTTTTGTTAGTCCTAACTCATTAATGCTGGAATGTGAAACTCCAAGAGAATCTGACCTACCCTGCTCATCTTCATTAAGATCAAGTTGGTGGAAAGAACCTATTGAGATTGAATGGCAAAGTATAGAATTCTTCGTTTCTATTGTCTCCTTTAAACGTCCTAAACTTTACCCACCATGGCATCCCTCGGTCTTTCTTTGACCTTTCTACCTCAAGAGTGTTGTCAAGCAACACTGCCACTATCAAACCCACTGTTGGTGCTGATGAGAATAAGGTATTTAAGAACGCATTGAACTGCAAAGAAGAAAATTTAGCATTTAGAGCAAGCCAAATACTAAAAGACTATTGGTGTTGGCAGGTATAAAGCACAGGTTACATATCAAATTAAAAGTTCAAATTTCTTAAAAGAAGTCTAAAATCAAATAACATGCAGCAGCACTATTTGATAAAGCATATGTACTATTTTTAAGGTATTGAACAGAATAATATAGCATATACTCCTGGCTAAGGAAAAGTAAATCTCACCCATCCAGCATTAGTATGGACAAGGCCATGTCGCGAAGGAGTCCAGTATTGATCGAAAAATTGAGGAACTGATATGCCAAGGAACAGTGTGAGCCCAGTGATAATAAGATTTCTCATGGAGTTCATGTTTGTGAACTGAAGGAATGATATTCCAACTGAACCTGATGAACAAGGGAAAGTAGTTGTGAATAGAGGAACAAGAGAAAAGTATTGCAATGAAATCTCATTTAAGATTTATAAAACATACCCACAAGGCCAAAGAGAACACAGTACAGTGCAGCAAATATTGGGAACGGTATAGATGCAAACACAGCTCCAAACTTTCCTGCAGATGATGGCAGAACAAGTAAACAAAAAAATAAAAAAATAAAAAACTAAGAAGGAACTGTCTTTTCTTGTTTCTAATTGTTATCATAAAAAATTTCTGTGAATAACATGATGAGGAACTGGTTTACTTCTGGTGTAATCCAGGCTCATCTTTGATTTGTCTCTACCAACCTAAAATAGAGAAGAATATCATAAAGCCGGCAGAAATCTGAACAACTCTGCGACTTCCAACTCGAGTTAGTCCAAGTAGCCCCACATTTTCCCTATAAAAAAACAACCATGATGCTCATCAAGCTACTATAGAAAGATACATGTATCAAACACAAGAAACAGATTGCAGTTAAAACTCAATGGAGAGTGATACTTACACAGAAACACCGGAACCAGTCCCTGTTCCATAAAGACCATCAAGTAAGACACCAATCCCCTAGATAAAATAAACAATATCAGTTTCGGCTCTCAGTCATATCAACTTCTCCATAATATTATTAACTTATAATAACTGTTCACAGGATTGAATCTTAGAACTATTCAAATTAATGCAAAGGCATAAGCTAGGCAATTCAATAATAATAAATGACTTGTGCCTTATAACTAACCTGCCAACCAATGCCTCGACTTAATACATAAGCAGGAGGTGGAGTAGCAATTGCTAGCCGAGAGGCAGCCTTGTATGCACCAGTTGACTGCAACAAGAGTGCGTGGTCAAGATGTCAATAGATTGTTGAAAATTTACTAAAATACCATGAGAGACTATTTATGGTGATTGTAATTAGTGTTTTGTTTCTTCAGTCATTGTGGTTTTTAGGGGGGCCTGAGACCTCTTGACTAAATTTTAAAACGTGAATCTGCATGTACTCTGTTTTTTTTTTTTTGGCTGAATGAATCTGTATTCTGTTGTATCAACTACCTTGCACTGGGATATAACATATAGACAAACACTAAAAAGCTCTGCAGATGAGACTGAAGTCATCCAGAAAAATAAAAATAAAAACAAAATCAGAATGAAAATAGATACCTCCACCATTGAGACAATAACTGCAGACATCATGGCAAATGAATGGCCAGCAGAAAATGTAGGGGGACCCCATTGGAAAGGATAGGGGAACATGAACCTAGTACAACAAGAAGAAACCTCAGAAGTCAGCAAAACCTTGGAACATATCAGAAGAAATTATAACATGCTTTTTCACCTACCATGGGGCCGTAGATATCAGGTTTGCTCTGTCTGTTTGACAACTACGTTGCGTTGTGTCAGGCTTGTGTCGGTAAGCTCCACTGGCAGTCAAGATAACAGCATAGATCCAAACAATTGGGACACATATCAACACTGGAAAACGTTCAAAGATGGGGATATCTCTAAATGGTCTCACGTGCTTTAGATACTGCAGTTTATAGCAAATTAGTTTGTCTTAAGGAAAGAAATAATAATTTGATGCACAATTGCACACTACAATTTTCTAGTTGCAGTACTTACTTGTGACGAACCAATTACCAACAATAACATAGGTATACCAATTTCTACACAGTCCCCCAACTGAAAAAGAAGATAACAGAACATTGTGTAAATTTATGAAGAGGGAGGATGGCCAATTAGAAGATTCTGATAAAGAAAATGCCATCAATGTTTGCATGCAAATTAAGCATTATGCCACTACCAAATAGTTTAGAACATAAAAAGTAGACAGACCCCTCATATATGCTAAAAAAAAAACAAATATCAAAATTCACCATTGAAAATTGGAGGCACTTAAATAGGTGACAATTCAAGATTGGTTTCAAGAGAAGTTCCTTAAATATTATTGTTTATCATTAAGAATAAACTTTCTTCTAGATGATGATATTGTAGTCACAAATTGCTGTCAATAGAAGACCACTTTGTCAAAAGTTTGTTCAAAGATCGTGACAATTAAGATGGAGATCAGAGCCACACCTACCAAAGGGAATCCACGTTGAAATAAACCTAATCCGACCAATCCAACTACAGGTGCCATACCAAGGGGACTGAAAAATCTGGAGAGAAGAACCACCAAAAGAAATGCTTGAAATTTTACTCAAACATTTTCAATTCAGAAATATGAAACATGTCACGTGAAACTAGTATACCTTGAAAAGAGTCCCCAAACTTGGCTGTAACCCAGGATTATTTGAATACTTGATGCTACAATCAAAGCTCCTTGTATTGCTCGCATTGTTTGTATAAATCTCTGCAAACCAATCACATGGCAAGATCTCTTTCAATACACTACCAAATAAGAAAAAATTTAAGTGTGCTCCTAAAGTTTGTATAATCTATGTTGCTCCCTGATAATACCTTAGAAGAACCATACCACAAAAGCTAATAATTGTAATTGAAGAGCCCAAAGCCTTATAAACCCCACCATAAAATCTCATACTTTCACTGTGGGATTCAAGTCCCTTACCCTACAATTGGTCCTAAGTTCCTAACATACCACACTATGCAGCCGCGGCACCCATTTGGGCGGACTGTGCACTAGTCTTTTGACTAGTCCCAGAACAACACTACAATGTCAGTGTCAACACCTGTGCCTCGTTTGCGGCTGAGAGATGCGGTGGAATGATTTGATACGAATTGATAAGAACCAAACCAGTAGAGAGGAAAATATAGTGATCAACAAAAAACGATTGGATGTATTATTAGTCTACAGGGCTTAGATGTTACAAATCAATAAATAGATTAAATGTATAGTTTGATGTGCTCTCAAACTACCAGTGATGAATAAATGGAATGAGGAAACTTACTTCATGAGGGTCACTAATTTGTTGCAATGAGGAGTCCCTGATAATATAAGCAATTGGAAATACATACGCAAATGAACCTCCAACTACTGTAGGCAATCTGGTACCAAAAAGTGTTTGGAGAAGTGTGTTAATGCCAGCTACAAAGAGCAGAGTCTGTATTACCCGTGCCTTGTCACCCTGGTTGTACGAGCAACCAGATCACGAACAAGTAAATATCAGTAATAAATGTGTGTCAAAAGAAACAATTGTTTTACACTAGAGCAGTAATTCAGCATACATCACTTCCTCCCATGTATGGAACAATGGTTGAAGGAATCATCACACTTGTTCCCAGCATCAATATATAATTTTGAAATGCTAGTAGGATAGCTTCAGCTGCAAGACAAGACATTCACAATGAGCCAAGAAGAAAGAGATTGTAAAGAAAACATTAATATCCCAGCTCACAGTCTAAATTGCACTGCTAAAGTAGAGCACGACAATTTGAAAACTCAAAATCACTTCAAGCAAATCAAACCATTGATTAAAATTCAAGAGTCCAAGAACTTCACACCAAATTTGTGTGTATCTTGGGCATGGAGTCTTGTGTTAAATTTTCATTTGACCTTGTTATGCTAAAATTTTCACATAACGTAAAAATGTTGAGTACTAGGAGGTTCTGGAGGCAGCCTTAAGGTGGGCATAGTAGAGAAATAATTGAATAGCATGATAATTTCCGGTTGATCATCATTGTAGATATCATGTAAGGTAACTTTGCACCAAATGTTTATATATTTATGTGGAAGATGTCTAATTAAAGAATTGAGCATTAAATGCACAGTTATACAGAGATCTCTTATAGAGAAAGAATACATAAGGCAAAACGAATTATGGAAGTTGACAACGTTGCCTACACATCCAGAAGGCCAAAGATAATTTTGGGTCGATCTGGTAGATGTGTTGGCAGATAATTTCTTCTCTTTGGCCTTTTGGGTACATAAAATTGTTGTGCATCAAGGGTTACCACATATACACACTGTTTCTATATTGATAATATATTTGTCTACTTTGGACTTAAGCCCTCACAGTTCTACTTTTGGACATTACTATTTTTCCAATAGAGACAATTATGTGTATATAAACTCATATTCGTCCTCTTGGTCTAACGATGTAAGACTTGAGACATAAGTGTAGCGGTAATCTTAATCTCTTCCTGACTAATTGTTTCTTTCTCACATATAAGGGTAGTCACCAAGTGTTCTCAAGAACTTCGCAAAGAACATAACAGAATCATTGTCATATCTTCATCGTCAATCTTTAAGTCGAATCTCAATAAATCACTAATTGTATGATTGAGGGAATTGATGTGTTGTTGCAAATCAACTCCTCCTTCTTGCATTTTCATTGGCTTATCCTCATCGTCAATCTTCATGTCAGGTCTCAGTAAATCATTGATTGTTTGATCGAAGACAATGAAGTGTTGTTGCAAATAAGTTCCTTGTATTTTCATCCCATCTAGTCTTTTCTTGGCATACAACTTATTCGTTATGGACTTGAACCATACAATTGTGTTTGGCAGACGAGGTGCTATATCATGTTATGCTAAACACACACAACCTGTCTCGATTTTACTTTTAGACATCACCCAAAAAACCTCTTACCAATTGAGACTTATTGGTGGAGGACCATCCAAGGAGGCTACACACTTGAAGACTATGTGTGTATATAAACGTATGTTCATCCTTTTATTTGAACGATGTAAGACTTTGCTTCCATCCCAATAATCTTTCTCTCAAACAAAGGACCATGTTTTAGTTCAGTCACGTTCTAAGTACTTAGATCGCCGCTCCATCGTTAACTTACGATAGCAGGGCGCGTCTCCTAAGCCTCCGTATTACCAGGAAAACTCTCTTTCATATATAGACCCACCATCCCAGATCCACTTGCCAACCATGATACTTGTCAAGCTGGTCACATGGTCAAATGGGTGACTTTGATATCGATTATCTGCTTTAGGCTTAAACCTTCACGATTTTCCTTTTTGGACATCACCCAAAAGATTTCTAACGAATAGAGACAACTATGTATATAAATCATGTTTGTACTTATTGGACATCACCCAAAAGGTCTCTAACCAATAGAGATAAACCTTATGTGTATATAAACTACAAGGGATCTTTTACCCAGATTTGCCTACCAACTCCATAATCAGCATACTTGCCGAGCTGGTCACCTAGTCGCTTTGATACCACTTGTTGTGCACCGAAAGTTACCACATATACACAGTATTTTCACATTGGTAAGATTTTATCCGCTTTGAACTTAAATTCTCACGGTTTTACTTTTGAACATCATCCAAAAGGCCTCTTTCCAATGGAGAAAGTTGTGTGTATATGAACCCATGCTAGTTCTCTTGTTCTAACAATGTGGGACTTTGATTGTATCCCAACAAAAGCACATATTCAACCTATGCAGTTAATTTTTGTTTTGTTTATCGTATTGATCTATATCTAGATCTGCATATCATCATCCTCTTTGTTTACTCTATCTATTTCTTGTTTCTTATTTTTGTAGGCAACATTTTCAACTTCCTGGATTCTTTTAGCCTTATGTATTCCCTCTATAAATGACTTTTGTATATTACTGTGTATTTAATCCTTAATTCTTTAACTACACATCTCAGACATAAAAAAATTAGGTTGTCTTCAGCACCATGTTGATGCTCTACTATGTCCACCTAGGGCAATGAAGCACTTCTCCTAATCACAATTAACTCACTTGGCTGCAGCATCAAGACGGCTCATCTCACCATTATACATTTTATTCACCTCTAGAGCCAAGGTGATATTTATATGTACTCAACAATTATATAGCATGAACTCTACATAATCACGTGTCAATGTGTCAAATACTCTGTGTGTTTTATAAGTTGTTATTTCACTCAAAAATCTCTCAATCATTGAAGTATGTGTGTGTTTTATAAGTTGTTATTTCTTCTCTTATTTTATTAATGTGAAACCTTGTTTGTATCCCAACAAATACCTCTCGAACAAGGTTTAGATACCTCTTTAACACAAGTTGGACAACAACCAAGAGAGTGAATCAACAACGCTTACTTTTGGCTAAACATGTCTCGAGCACTCATCATATTTTGGAAAGAAAAAAAAAAAGTCAACTTATATTATAAATATTAAATACTAGTGAGAAAGAGACACTTTGTATTTTTATATGATTTATTTTAAAAAAAAATGAAAATAAAAATGAGTGGTTTGAAATCAGGAAATGTGAGTAGTTTGAGACAATTAAAAGGGTAAAAAGGGATATAAAAATGTGTACCAAAACTAGCAGCAATTCCTTTGTGGTGGGCAGCTAGTATGAAGTGGGAAAATTAAATTTTTGTGTACACAATTTTTTTATACTTTATCATTAAGAGATGCATAGGTGAAAAGAAAAGGTTGGAAGAGAGGTATAAATGACTAGAAATAATTGGAGACAAAAAAAAAGGTATTTTTTTTATATATCGATATATATTATGAGACTCAACGTTAATTTAGGCTCATTATCACAGGACTTAACTAATAGTTTTAACTTTATATAGTATTTGGTTGCACTGAGGTGGAGGGTAAAGGAGGAATTTTTAAAATTTTTGTTATTTGCTCAATTTTCAATAGATAAGGATAGGGGAATGGAGGGAAGAAAAAATCCTTCTCGTCTAAATTTACTTCCCCTGGGAGAATTTGGAAGGAAGTAGAGGATTTTTAAAATATTTTAAGTGCAATATATAAAATATTCTTATTTATGATTCTAAATTTAAAATTATAAAAATACAAAATTAAATTGATTTTTAAAATCTCTCTCAACTCCTTGTAAATCAAAACAGAAAAACAAAAAAAAAATTATCTCTCCTCATCTTAAACCAACAAAATTTTTAATCCCTTCCTTCTCCTTCCCTCCCCTCTCCCCCATTCCTTTGAAGCAAACAGAACAGATATAATTCATCTTATTTTGGAAACTTTTTTGTTGTAAAGATTGCATGAAATCATTCATCTAATTTTCGGGACTTTTTTTTTTTTTTAAGATTACGGTGTGAAATTGAGTATTCTTTTAGTGAGAGGCATTATCATATGAAAATTGAAAAATAACAATTTTGTTTTGAGTTCAATGATCATGTATTAATATACAACAATGTTATCGATGTAAAACAATTTAATATTATCTGTATAAAACAATTTAGTAACAAACACACAGTGACCCAATTAATAGTATAAAAACAATTATTGAAAGTTTATAGATTTAGCATACATGATAATTAGTGGTTAAATGACATTACATATATAACCTATTTTCTCTCTTATTTTTAGAGAGGGTGAATAAATATAAATCTTAATTTTCAATTTAAAATTATGTAAACACAATGTAAGGATGGTGGATTAGTCATAAATTAATAATACGTAGGACCACTTATTCTAACGTCATTAGTAACTAAATTTTTCATTTATCCATAAGAGAAAAAGTGGGGTAAAGTGGTAATTACAATATGATGGTCATGACTCATGATTGCAAGCCTTCTTAGAAATAGTGATCTTTGTTTGTTTCACAGAGCTAAAGGACAAGTCGGAATGATGATGAAAAACAGGGAAATTTACCGTGTGTTTGGAACGGCGTCAAAACTTGATTTTTCACGTTTGACTGGAAGGAGAAAATAATAGCTTCTCCTTGAATTGTTACTTGGACGTGAAGAGAGAGAAAGAAATTGAGTTTCAAAATTGAAACCAAACACACACTCAATATATTTATTTAAAAACCATAATGGTGTAATACATATTTTAACTTCAAATTAAAAACTAATCCAACTAGGAAAAGGCTAAGAGAAAAAAGTTAAGACTTGACAGTCCCAATCTAACCGGATAACATTAAAAAAAATCAACTTTTTAATCTATAAATAACCAGAATCAAAATGGAAGAAAAGTGAGCTAATGCAAACAAAAAAGACTTTGTATCATTTCTTTCTTAATTCATTCCATTCATATGAGTTTGATTTTTAACCCCTTAATGATCATTTTATTTGAAAGGCAAAGATTTAACAAGTATATTTTATTTGTCCGATGGCAACAGAAGATGATTAAAAGCAATAAAAAAAAAATATATGAAGAGATAGCAGTTAGTTATAAGAAGAGAGGAAGAACATACCCCATGGAGGATTAGAGTCTAAGCAGTATTGGAGGTCCTGAAGTTGTTCCATAGGGAGATGAGTAATGTCTGACATTGTAGTGGAGCTTGTGAGTTGAGAAAGAAGAGAAGCAAGAGAGAAGAAGAAAGTAAAGTGGAAACATAAAGTGAAGAAAACTAAGGCATGAATATTAATGAAAACTGAAAAGGAACAGCGCAAGCTTGTTGATTTACGAAATTAACCCTTAATGAGTCATGACGCATGGAAGTGTCCTTCCAAGTTCCAGTCACTGGGGAAACCACCGAAGCAGTGTGCGTCACTTTGGTCCCCTCTCTGCCTTCCTACCATTTCTGCAACAAAACTATTTACATTATTTTTTTATACTAATTATAGCCTATTATTTTTTATTTCATGAATACTTCTTAGAGAAAGAAAGTCTCTATCAAAAAGCGTAACAGAGGACTAATGTCGACACTTCTTCACAAATGAAGAACCATTTTAGAATTTAAATTAATGCGTGTTTGGTTTAGTTTTTGGACATAAAAATTCACATTTGTGAGAAGCAAAAAATTATAGTTTCTATGTAAATTGGCTTGTAAACGTGGAGAGAGAGTGAAAAATCACGTTTCTAAAGTAAACACGCACTCGGTGGTAGGTGTTAAGGAATGTTAAATTTTTACCAGCAATAAATTTTTTTTATAAAAAAATTACATAAATAGAATTAGAAGTAGCATCAAACACTGTTTATGATCAAATTTCAAAAACCAAATTCTGACCTTCACCTGTACATTCCGTTGAGGTCTTCGGCTGTCGAAATTCGGTGTTTAGAAAATCGAATACCAGGCAGCCATTTTTATTTTTATTTTTCGATTTTCATATTTATTAAATAATAAATTACATTTATAATAAAATTCATTTTTTAAATAATAATTAAATAATAATCAAATATACTTGTATCCATACCCGTACCTGTCAATTTTATTTTATTTTTTTATAAAAAAATATGATATTTTTAAATTATTTTTTTATTATATTATAATTATAATTAAGTTATTTTTTTATCTCATATTACTTTTCTCTAGTAGTATATACATCTATATACATTATAAAAGAGATACAAATTGTTGTAATTCTTTTTAGTTTTTCCTTTTAGTAGACTATTATATTCATAAAAAAAATTCTCTTAAATAACCAACGTCAACCACTTTTAAATTATCTTCCTTTAATATTTTTTTATAAAAAAATTAAGAGACACTAGGTATCTCTTTCTCCTACTAGTACATATAAGGGCATGACTCTTTTTGTTAACTTCTCATTCTTTTTAAATTATTTTATTCAAACACTACAATTACTATTTATAAAAATAAGTATCTTTTTTATATTATACATGAAGTAATTACTTTTGATCTTCATATTTAGTAGACCATTATACCTTTTTATTATTAAAAAAAATAAATTAATCTTTTTTTGTAACCACCATTCTCTTTTAATAATTATTAAAACCTATGATTATTCATATTTTCAATTAACTATTTATTATTATTATATAATTTTTAATTATTTTTAAAAGTTTCAAGGAGACAAGATTCGTTATTTTATTATATATTAAAATTGAAAATAGAAACTTTCAAAACATGAGAGAGAGAGAGATTGGATTAACCGCAAATTACTGAGATGTTATATGGACACGTGTTCAAGCTTTTTTATTTTTTATTTTTATTTTTTAAGTAGTGTTCAAAGCTTTAGTATTGGTGTGAAATAGATACTTGGTCGGTAAGTGTTCAATTGGGTATTTTGTATCCTTAATAGATTTGGTGACAGTTAAATTTTGTTAATCAAATCATTAAATTATGCAACAATCTTATATGTTAAATTTTACATAGTTAAGACAGATCAAATTACATTTTTATAACGATTGTTACATTATATTAAATAAACATATAAAATATGATTTTTATCGATTCAATTATTAAATTGTAATTATTTATTTTCTTAGTTATTTGTACCAAGTTTTGTCAAAGTTAAACAACAATCGCAAGATGTATGAATGTGATATGAAATAGTTTTAGACTAATATAATTTTTTTATGCATAATCCATATGGAAAAAAAAAAATTAACATTGGATTTTCATCGATTTATTCTACGCACTTGGAAAGCATTGATTCTCATTCTTCCAGATTTTTGTTTCTTCTGTTGCAAACCAAGCACAATTCCTGATCAAGTAGTGTGCTAGGAGCAAAAACCATTATCGGTTTTCATTGAAAAAAATGAATTAGGACAAGTTTCATCCGGTAATTTTAATTTGTGTTGTTGTTTGTATCAATGATTTTCTGATTATTGAATTTTCAAATTTTTTATGTGAGTTTGAGTGAGATATTTTGCGACACTATTTGAGAACAAAATGACCACAACTTTAGACATAATTAAAGGTTAAAACTGTAATACCATGATTTTTTTAATTATGAATATTTATTATATATATAATTAAGATTTTTGTTATATGTTATTTTAAGTTGTTTGAGTTGTTGTATATAATGTTTTGTCTCTGAAGGGTGAGAGTTAGAGTTAATGACCCTAGGTTTAAGTTATAGAAATTGTGACTTAAGTGCTTGAAAATGGATCCAAGGAAGACCAAGATATAGAAGGTGAATTTTGAGAAATGAGTTTCATAAATTTATTTTTTAGCTTCCTAGAGAGAGATTTCTTAGAGAGATAAAATTTGGAGCTAGATTGTCTGTTCATTGATTTGATTCTGTAGAAAGTTTTCATAGGTACCCTAAGACTTAGTTGAGTAGCAGTAGTAGAAAGCTGAGATTAAAGCTAACAAACTTTTATTCTTAAAGAGAAGGTGAACCTCGAGTTCTATGATTTTGCCCTTCTACCTTGATTTCTATGGTTTTGAATGCGATTAAGATAAAAAAAAGTTTGATTGTAGCTTATATAAATTTTATAAGCGTGGTTGTGTTTGTCTATAACTGAATTGATGGATGCATGTTGAGAATTTGAGTTTATGTTGTTGGGACTTTCAATTGTTCTTGGGGTTGAAGAGGAATCTAATGACTTAAGTTGTAATCTTGTTACATGTGAGATTCCTACTCTTTCCTAAGTTGAGAATGATGTGAAGATGTGTTTTTCTGAGTTTCATGTGTTGGTGGTGGAGTGTGGTGGTTAAATTTGAAGAGAGATGGCAAGTTCCATAGTGGAACTCTACTCACTTGCCAAAAGAGAGGTACATCTCGCCTGACACACCTTCATAGTTGACGAACACTAACCCATAGTTCTTGTTCTCGCTCAATGATATGATTGTTGCTCTGCAAGAATATGATTTTTTGGTGGCTTTGTTGGATAAGTTCACCCAACGAGATGTGACTCGCTTAGCAAAAACCCACAGAGTCTAGCTTTTTTGATGAGCTATAGTCTCTCAATGACAAGTTCCAGAGGAGTTTGGTTGCCTAGCGAGCTAAAGCCCACCCAACGAGATGAGCCATAAAGAATTTCTCTCGTTGAGCGAGATTAACTCACCTAACCATGAACTTTAGGAGAGGTTGTTCGCCCAATAAGACTACTCTTTGCCTAATGAAACCCCTATTTTGAGCATGATGAATTAACCTATCTAAATTACTTTTAATGCAAGTGTGTTAGTAGTTAATCATGGTTTGTGGTGTGTTGAATAATGTTATTGATGATTATGATGATATTGCTTATGTTGTTTATATATGTATCTTTCATATATGTTATTGAGTGCTTAGATGTTAGCACGAACTTATGTTGGTTGTAATTGACTAATTGAGTTGTATGCTTATGTATGACTAAACCCCTAATTCACAAAGTTGAGTGTGGTGTTGGGAAGGTTAGTTCTCCTACACCCATGTTATTTTTGAAAATGCCCTTGATGCAATTTGAATGAGAATGATGAGATGAAATGTTTGATTGAATTGTCTAGTAGGAGATGTTAATGGATCAATTAGTAAAGCATATTTGATTGTGGGTTACATTGGATTCAGGCGAGACGAAATTTTTTTATCAAACCTAATTCAAAGGATAATTATAGTAGAGATATGATGACTTGAGGTATTTTAGAAGAGAAACAATATATTTTAGAGTATCGTTACAATAAAAAGTTTTTTTCTTTAAAAACAACGCATCTTATGCTTCAACTTAAACTTTCTTATTCTTGTCTTCTTAGTTAGTTTGCTCTTTGTGTTTGTAGGTTGATAAATAACATATTGATGTTTTCCATTTTCTAATAACAATGTTCCAAAAAAATTAAAATAAAAAAATAGAAGAAAGAATCAGAGAAAAGCGGGAAGTTGAGAAGAACAATATTATATAGTGTTTGTGTTGCAGGACCAGTCCATTAGCTAACAACAAAAGATAGCTTTTAATTGTATGAAAACAGAATGAGGTGTAATTGAATGACTAATAAAACCATTGAATCACAAACCAACGTGTGTGCCAAAATGCTGCTAAGGTATATGCAAAAAGAAGTTGCCAACGGATTAAAGACAACTTTTAAATAACAATTCTAAAATAGATATGAACTTTTGATTTGAACCAAAAGTAATAAAAAAAAGGCTTAAATATATTTTTAGTTCCTCAAATTTAGGGTAAATCTATAAATATGACTTATTAAGTTTATTATTTATTAACATTATAAGTTATTAACTTTTATTATAGATATTATTTATTATTTAATTATTATTTACAAAGTTTTATTATAAATAAAATTTATTATTTAATAAAATGAAAAAAAAAAAAAAAAAACAAAAATGGCTGCCCGGAATTCGGTTTTCCGAAAACTGAATTCCGGCAACCCAAGACATCAACGAAACACACATGTAAAGGTCAGAATTTGATTTTTGAAGAATTAAATTTTGACCATAAACAGTGTTTGGTGTTATTTATATAAATAATGTATTCAAGGTTCTATTTAAGAAATTTTTTTTAAAAAATATTATTGCTGTAAAAAATTCAGGAATGTTGGACATAATTGTCATAATAAGGAACTAGGGGGATTCATGCCCATTAATGAACTAGGTGAGTTATGAGTTCTCAATATAAACCTTTCACATCATTTTTGTCTCTTATTGCTTGTTCAAGCTTCATTTTTTACACAAGGACTTTGTAAATAAAATATTACTTTTCGTATTGATTATAATGGATAC